TGCCTTCTTTTAAAAAAAACACACTCCACAAACACTTTCAAAACAAACTCTCAAAAACATTTGAAACGTCTTTTCGAAAAGATACACACCTTTGTAAAACAATCGAGTAAAGAATTGTTACAAGGGTAGCCTAAGACAAGGCATCTTCTTCCAAAACATTTTCAAAAACACACACACACACACACCATTTTCAAAGCAATCGAAAATCAAGGCAAGTGATCTAAAAAACCAAGTAACTAAGAGCCCATGGATAACCATGGATGAAAAGGGTGCTAATACCTTCCCTTTTCATAATCTACCCCCCGAACCCACGAAATATCTCAAAAGGTTTTTGCTGTGCTTTTTTAACCTCTCCTTTAGGATAAAATAAAAAGTCGGTGGCGACTCTTGCTCAACCGAACAAGTGCGAATACAAACGCAAAACCATAGTCAGTTCTCCCACCGTATCACAGAACTGGCGACTCTGTTGGGGATTACTACTCAAAGTGGGGTTACCTTAGGGTTTAGATCACCTTTGTTTTCAATTGATTTCTTTGTTTGCTTTTACATTTGTGGGCTTTGTATCGGAGTTTCATAGATCCTAACCCGGATCTGGGGAATACCCTTTTAGGTAGCATAATCTGTGAGGGACCTGTCCGGCGTATACCGATATGGGTGAAGCAGTGGCTACGTTGGTGTGGCACCTTGGTCTGTACCGATATCCCTCGTGTTGAAACGGGGAGAATATGGGTCTTCCAAGGAGTCATTAAGCACCAACCGACCTTAGAACCCTAAATTGACCCAACTTGGCCATTAGAACAGTAGCAGTATGCTACACTCATTGAGGCTAAACTCTCGCGATGGTTCCGGCCGCAAGAAAAGATAGCGATGTTGGAGTTATGACCGATCGAGGGTAGCCAATGATTTGAGATCCTCTAGAACCCGGTTACTTTTGATAGGACAGGTTTTAACCAACGAAACTGAAAGAGGGTAGTACCTGAACCCCATGCAAGCCTAAACCTAAGGACTTGTTTGCTTTGTGTGAATATGTTTGCCTGTATATACACTCAAATTCTCAATAACATGAAAAATGTTGAAAAAGAAAAGAGGAGATGATGACTGTCTCCCCAAATTCAACCGGTGAACCATCGCCCAAAAGTCGTTCCAAACTCAAAACAGAGTGTGACGCACAATTAACTGAGCTTAGGTTGAAGAACATCACGAAGAGCGGGTGGGTACAAATATACTTTGAGCCTTTATCCTTTGTTTCTTAAACCGTGAACCAAACCACGTTACAACCCTTCAAAAGTCCTAATTGAAGCATGGGTTAGTTCGAAAGCATACTGTTACAAAAGGTATCCTGACTCCTGTAAGGCTTTGCTCTAAATCTTGTGTTGATCTGTCTTATAAAAAGTTTTCTGCTAAAAACGCATTTTTTTCAAAACTTCGAGACAAACATAAACTTTGCATTATTTGAATATCACTGTCTGCATTTGGATTTTTGTTTGACAGCGAAGAAATTCATACAGCGAATGTTCGGAGGAACGAAAACTCTCTCAGTGAGCCAAATCACTTCAAAAGGACGACACTTCCTTTACAAATCCCCTATCAACAAGGGGCATGACATAGCACCATCCAATTAACTTGGGGCAGTCCAGTCAAGGTCCAACAGATCTTTCAAAATCCAATTAACCTGGGGCAGTCCAGTCAAGGTCCAACAGATCTTTCAAAATTCAATTAACCTGGGGCAGTCCAGTCAAGATTTCAAGAAATCTCTCAATATGCAGAGTAATCTGATTCAAGATTCCTTCATCACCACTTGGGGCATTCGAATGTCAAAAGTGTTCAACAAATCAACTATCACATTTCCAGACTCGATTCTTGTATCTAGCTAGGGCACGTCTGAAGAGTTTGAGGATTCGATTCCTGTATCTAGCCAGGGCATATCTGTTGACGACTATTTCCAGATTCGATTCCTGTATCCAGCCAGGGCATATCTGTTGACGACTACTTCCAGATTCGATTCCTGTATCCAGCCAGGGCATATCTGTTGACGACTATTTCAAGACTCGATTCCTGTATCTAGCCAGGGCACGTCTGAAGAGTTTGAGGATTCGATTCCTGTATCCAGCCAGGGCATATCTGTTGACGACTATTTCCAGACTCGATTCCTGTATCTAGCCAGGGCACGTCTGAAGAGTTCCAGATCAACACCTGTAACAAGCCAGGAAAATATCTGTGAACAACCGATTGTGGATCAACACCTGTAACAATCCAGGAAATTATCTACATCACCACTTGGGGCATTCGAATGTCAAAAGTGTTCAAAAACCCGATGCAGTTTTACACGAACTCATCATTAGGAAATCCTACACAGATCTCCTCAAAACAGGAAGTCCCCAGGAGTTTGGCATACAACCCAAGCTTCTGATTTCCCCAACAAGGGTCCCCAGACTTCTCATTTTCAACAATTAAAGACTCTTGCCCTCCACAGTAGCAGCCAAAGAATTATTCTCCCAGGCAGCAGTCAAGATTCTTTTATCTGCAGCCATCCAGGATTCATTTATCCTCAGCAAGATAGCTCATCAGTTTACATGCGCATTCATCACGTTCATGTTATAAACATTGATGTCACATACATTGCATCATGCATCATAACATTGCATGCAACTAACCTTTTACCTTTTCAGGAAAGATCAGTCGACAGACAAAGATCATCTTCCGAGATTCATCCAGAAATAGTTCAGATGTGACCCGGACACGGCGACATTCTGATACTTATTCCAGATCCACCCAGATGCAGTTTTACACGAGCTCATCCTCAGGAAGCCCTACACCGGTTCCTCTTCAAGACTTCTGAAAACAGTTCACGGGTTCTCCAGTAACGGATGTTAACCTATCACTTGTTCAGATTCTTCTCAAGCCTTCTGAAAATAGTTTACGGATTCTTCCCAACAACGGATGTTAATCTACCAACTTGTTCAGATGCAATTTTTGAAAACAGTTTACGGACGCTTCCCAACAACGGATGCTGCTCTATTGCTTATTCAACTTCAAGACTTCTGAAAACAGTTCACGGGTTCTCCAGTAACGGATATTAACCTATCACTTGTTCAGATTCTTCTCAAGACTTCTGAAAATAGTTTACGGATTCTTCCCAACAACGGATGTTAATCTATCAACTTGTTCGGAGGCAATTTTTGAAAACAGTTTACGGATGCTTCCCAACAAAGGATGCTGCTCTATTGCTTATTCAACTTCAAGACTTCTGAAAACAGTTCACGGGTTCTCTAGTAATGGATGTTAACCTATCACTTGTTCAGACTCTTCTCAACTTTTGAAAACAGTTTACGGACGCTTCCCAACAACGGATGCTGCTCTATTGCTTATTCAATCTCAACTTCAAAATAGTTTACGGATTCTCCAAACATGGATGTCAATCTATTGCTTACTCGGACTCCCAACTCAGAGATGTTCCAAAACATGGGTGCCTTTCTGATACTCGTCCACTCACCATTGACATACAGTTCAATATTTCCAAATGGCATCTTTAAGCCCATTTTCAGATGGCATCTTTAAGCCCATCCTCCTACCAGCAGTCACCAAATGGCATCTTTAAACCCATTTTCAGATGGCATCTTTAAGCCCATCCCCCGACAAGATTATATCGCATCAGATGGCATCTTTAAGCCCCTTCACCTCTACCATCACATCGCCGAGTGCAAATTTTCTGGGCACTTTAGTGTCCAATCTCCTTTTACCTTCGAGTCACGAAAGGCAAACTTGCCAATCTAACTCTTCAGGTGCAAGAAGATTGAACAGGGGCAACTGTTGTACCTCAAAATTTGTTATTGAATTTGGATTACATTTTTGCGTTATCCCTTTATCGACCACAAACACTTTTTGTGATGCATACTCTATATATATATATATATATATATATATATATATATATATATATATATATATATATATATATATATATATATATATATATATATATATATATATATATATATATATATATATATATATATATATATGTGTGTGTGTGTGGTTTTGTTCTAATTGTCTTGGTTGTATAAATTGTACAGATTTTTGTATTTAATGCGAAACAACGAGAAAAAAATGACATTCCTCTAGTTAATTTTTTCTTGCTACTGACAGCATTAAAACCAAAAATATATTGACAGTTTACAACCGCAAATATATTTTTAATTTTCAATTATTTTTAACAAAAAAAATGCACATAAAAAATATACTTCCAATTTCAGAGAAATATTTTAGAAATTGAATAGGATCTTTCTTTTAGACCTAAGATGAAATAAGAAATTAAAAAAAAAAAAGAAAATTGAAGTGTTGTCTAATGGTACGAGAATTTATTATGTTCGAATTCCTTCAAAGACGATTTAATTTATCACTAAAAATAAAATCCATTTCCTCCATTTTTTTTAAAAGACAATAAATGTAATAAGCCAAACTTTTAATTACCAAGATTAAGTAGTTTTATTTACATTCTATTCCATAAGAAAATATTATATTTTAGGTATAGGCAAGAGAAAGTATGCCTCTTTTATAAGCCAATGAAATTGATTACTTTGACGAATACAAATGGTATTTAGGCATTATTATGGCTTCTATTGACTAAATGCTCCACAATTTCAAATCTTGTTCCCATATTCATCAACAAGACTCAATCAAATTCAACATAAATTAGTCAAAGTACATCCCCCAAACACAACATTATTAATTATTATTCTACCTTTCCTTTCCCCTTAAATAATGTCATTTAAAAAATAAATATTATTCAGTAAATAGTATATAGTTTTCATATTAATTTCCAGAGTATGATCTTGTTCTATATTGTTTCTTGTTATCATGGTATCATAGTAATAAACCAAAAATATATAAAATGAGATGTTGTGTAGAATACTTAGAAATTCAAAAGACTCATATATTCTTGCTCAAAACTTATACATGTACATATATAGATTAGAAAAGGCTAGCTTATAGTATTACATTCAAGAAACAAAAGAACTCATATTTGGAACTTTATTAGAAGAAGATGAAAAGGCAATGAAAAAGAGAAGCAACAAAATGAAAACAGGAACAAAGAGAAGCATCAAAGGTGGTGGTGGCAAAGGAGGCATCACCAAAGGTAGAATCAAAATGAACAAAGCCAAAAGAGTTAAAATCAAAACCGAGTACCTAATCATGCGTCCATTACTACTACTACTACTAGTGCTCTTCTCTTTTGAAGCCACCTTGTTTTTTACCATCTCCATTCTTAATCCTTAAAAAAACCACATTGAGAATTTAAAGAAACCTCGGAGAGTGAAATGTGTGTTTTGTAAGAGTTTTGTAAGAGTTTTGTAGGAATAGAAAATGAATGAAGGAATAATGAAGAGAGATGAATGAGGATTTTATTGTTGTATAGAAAATGACAAGGATGTTGAGGGACATAGTCTTATCATTGTAAATGCCAAAGGAGTCATTGTCTTTAAGATAAAAAAAAAATGTCTTGGTTCAACCAACTTAAATGTACGTTGTATCAAAATAAAACTATCATGATTCAATGTGCAAGGTTATTTATTAATTTATTTATATGACTTTATTTACCCACTTTAATGGGACCCATTTGGCTTTTTTAGTTTTCAAAATGGTAAACGGGAGGAACTAAAGGTTATAATTTATCTTGTTGCGTAAAGTAAAGTTAATTGGTGTTAGAATTTTTTGTTACTATGAATGTGATGTCAATTGCATGAATCATTGTCATGACATGTGCAAATTAGATGAAACATTGTGAAACTGTAAATTTACGTTTTTGCTATTTTCTTATAAGCAACGCCATATTGGTCCATATATGTGTCAACAGCTTTTACTATGGAAATTTGCTTGTCTCCAACAAATATTTCCGACACATTCATTCATTGTGTTGTAAGCATATATCCTCCATTTGTAATTTGGAGGACAAAACGTCCAAGGCTATCTTAGAGTAAGTGTTGTTGGAGATTCTCTATCACTGAGAAAATACTAGTTTATTTGATGAAAAATTCCTATAAAATTGATAAAAATAAATATGTAAGTAGATCTTAGCCATATGAGAGTTTTGGAAACTTGTAACTCTTGTAACGAGAAAACTCTTGTAATAGTGTTTTGTTATGGAATCATAATTGATATTCATCGTTGATGTATGATTTTGGAATATGAATTAAGGTTCTCTTTATTTTTTTTCTTTTATATTTTGTCAATTTCCAAAGCGCTTATTTTTAATATATCATAAATGTCTTTCAAACTATAGTAATAGAGAGAAACAATAGAGAGAAAAATAGAGAGGTTCTGACTCCTGGAATAGGTGATGCTGATATCAGATACGACGGGGTGGAGTGGATATGCAAGGTTAATACTTCACGTTCAAGTCAGTTAGATAGTCCAAGATTAGTATAGTGAAAAGTGGAGATCAAAAAGTATATCTTGAATCTCATATGCACCGACTATATATGTTCGATCATCGGAATTAGGCTATGTATGATTGGGCCGTTTCATTTGGTCTTTGGCCAGCTTAGAATAAATAGTATTAGTCTCAGTTCATTACAAAATATTTTTTAAGTGTAAAGAATAAAGATGAGTACGACAAAAACTATAAATTGAGATATCGATCATCAAAGTTTTGTTTATTTATTTCTTCTATTATTGTGTAAGGTACAATGACTATGTATAAATAATTTCTCAGCTTTGTCAATATTAAGTTTAGTTTTCTATACTAGAATATAATACTTTTTATTCATGGACGCCTATTTTAGGTACAATAAAATGCAATGCACAAGAATGACTGGGATAAGACTACTTTTTATTCATGGACGCCTATTTTAGGTACAATAAAATGCAATACACAAGAATGACCGGGATAAGACGATATTTATGATGGAACACGACAATTATATGTACACTATAATAATTTGGTTTGAAAAATATATAGGTGCAACATACTAGAGAACGATGAACAAAATCTCTAAGAAATGGATTGACGACATGCTATAAGTGTATATCTATGACATGATAGCCAACTCCATAAAGAAAAGAAGTTGCTACATGAAGGATATCTTATTGTTGTATGCAACAGAGTACACCAATACAACATGAGGCTAAATTTGGAGAAGTGCATGTTTGGAGATAAGACCGATAAGTTCTTGGGATTCTACCTCATAGAAAGGAAAATTGAAGCAAATCTAGACAAGTGTGATGCAATCATCAAGATGGTACTCCATTTAGAAAAGAAAGAATGATAAAGTTGGACAAGATGCTTATGACCTTCAACATATTCAACTCCAGATCTCCCAACACACTATTCCATTTTATAGACTCATGAGGAAGGAAATGTATATAGTTCAAATGGGTGCTTAAGTGAAAATAATCCTTCACACAACTGAAACACACTATCTTCAACCGCTAGTCTTGTCAATACCTATCCTTTGAGAGATTTAATTCATTCATCTACCTGCATCTACAAAAGTAGTGAGTGTTGTCCTTGTGAGAGAGGTGGGCTCAAAAAAAGAGATTAAACGAGATTGTTTTTCGCCCCAATTGATGTCGCAGTCAAACATGCCACATCAGTCGTGTACAATAAAAAGAGATAGGCCCAAATACCCCGACGACCTTGTCCTTCCAAGAGTTTACATCAGTGAAAAAAACATTGGGGGAAGGCAAGCTAGCACCAAATTGAAAGAAACTATATAAGATTTAGACCAACACCAACAAGGGAGCATCTTTAATAAAGATCATCCATAAAGACTTGTTTTAGGGACATGGAATGCAATCAAGCTCAAAGACTACTACAACTAATTACATTTCCTCCTTTTTTTCATTTGTATAAATCTCCATTCTGACATTCAACATGATAGAATTAATAAACAAGATTTTCACCATAACATATATTTCTTATTGATTTAAATGATGTGGTAAAGCTTATATCCTCTTTGCTGGCACTAAACCTTGAATGTGAAGGAAGTGGCACATGAAAGGAAAAAGCCAGTCATAAAATCTCCAATTTGTAAAGGGGATCAATCGACAAAGACATCATATCAACCCTCAAACGGAAGGACAATGATTACACAAAGACACAAGATTAAACATATATCTATTTGGTGGTGTAAAATTAAAAAATAAAATTAGCTCCCTTGTCAGCTAGACACTAAAAAGAGAAGAAGAAAAAAAAAAGACACTATCATTATGATCCCTCCAAATAAATCAGACAACAACAAACCAAATCATTGCGAAATCAATCCTAAACTTAACCCTACCACATAAAGAGAAGAAATACTCAAGCAGATGTTTATGAACATTAGGAATAGCCACATGATAACCTAACCATTGAAAGATCCTATACCAGACTAACAAAGCTAACTCACAAGCAACAAAGAATTGAAAAATAAACTTAACAAACTCCCACAAAAAGTCAAGAGATCACATTAAAATCAGCGATCACCCAATTTGAACAAGTTTTCAGTGAAGGGACTCTATCTTAAAGAAGTTGTAAAAAAATATCACTTTACAAATGGTTTGACTGATCCAGACTAAAGGAACGATCGAGTTCTTAATTACATCAAAAGTGTAAAAAAAACATAAGGAAGTCTATTTAAAAACTTTATACACATGTAACAAATAGTATACAAACAATATTCTCTTACATTGTGTAATTATTTTCAATAACATAAAATTGCTAAATTTTATATTAATCATAATCTTTGTAGATACAAAAATTTTATTGGTTGTCTTTAGATACACTTGCCAAATATCTATAAAATACCTATATTATTATTTTTGTACGAGCATTAACTAACAAATGACACATACCATATATTAATACGAATAAAGGATATACTTTGATAATATAAAATAATTTTATATTATCAATCAATCAAAATTATGTTATATATTAAATTATATTATTATTTTTAAATAAATTATACGATATAATTAAATAATAAAATTTTATTGAATAATAAATAAAATTATTTTACACTATAGTGTACTATCTTTTAACTCTATATAATTGACGTTTCAAAAGTAAAAAAGTATGTAAATTAATTTTGATACAAATTAAATATTGAATTATTCAACAAATTGAAAATAAGCATATTATTTTCAAGTCTCAAACGATCAATATATGGAGGATTATCAAATAAATAAGTAGTTCTTACTACTTCTTTATAAAGTATAAACGAATCAATATAATGAGAAGCCTTAAGAAGAATATCAGCCACTAGCTTCCATAATAAAGTCCATGTCAACTAGGCAATGGTTATATTCATACTAATTTTTTTTTGTAAACTACGTACTTTAACATTATAACAATTTAATTACTATATAAAAACCAACAACTTCAGTGGTTTATTCGTATAGCCTGATATATGAGTTAGAGCTGTGGAATCATATCTACTTGCAATTACAAAAAAAAGAAAAGTAATGATGTTAAGGGTCTCAAAACATCAAGTTTTTTCGAATTGTTCAATGTATCACTGAACTGGATATATACTTTACGTCAACAACTAGAATTAGTTTAATCAATCGTAAATGAAATGAGCTCCCTAGGTTTTCAATTCCAAATTTTATAGTTTTATATTCAAACTTTGAATACAGCTAAGTCAAGTTGTAGATATGGCTCCGTGAATTCCAACGAGAAACCAAAATATAATTTGTGTACATGCGCTTCCAACCCAAGTTTAATTATATCTTAATATAGATCCTATATTTTGTTTCATAATCGCTTGGCAGGCTAACATATATATATATATATATATATATATATATATATATATATATATATATATATATATACACCGGTGCGAAACAGAAGATCGGTGATGTAAAAGGAAAAAAAAATTATGATGCGATGATGAGAGTCTCTAATACGGTTGAGAGGGGTATATCAAGGTCAACACTCCAACGCCTAAGTCAGTGAGTCATATAAGTGTAACTTTGCTAGAGTGAATGAGTAGTTGTTTATGGCGTGTGGCAAGACTTATATGCATCGATCAATTAAAATCACTCTCGCTTGACCCAACGTGAAGTGCAGAAGATCGTCCGATTAGAACTGGTGGTTGGTACCGAGAAAGTAGGTTGAATTAGGTGTGCAATCCTCTGGCAAGAGTCCATCTGTTTGTGTTTTGTCTAGAGGGTTTCTAGACTAAGTCGCTCAAATTTGGTCGACCCTTTTGACTATTTTTATCTTAGATTTTTGACACGAGTCTCAAGGTTGGAAGTTAATACCTTAAAGGAATTCAAA